ATACAGAATGTGGCATACATTAGCAGAGAAGCCTAAACATCACCATGTAACTTTTTTAACCCAGACTCAAACTTTTTATAACATTTTATTGCTTGTGTTCTTTTCTGAAAAGAGTGATGCAGTTGAAATAAAAAAAAATAACTTTACTAAGAGTGCAACAGTGCCAATTTAGCAGTTCAGGACCCCCTGTGAAAATAGATTGTAAGAGGAAGGAGTCTGGAGGGACAGAGAGAAGCCACACAGAACAGATGTCAAGAGAAAACAGCAGCATTAGCAGCATCCCAGGAAGAGCGAAATAATCATGTCAGCACAGTTATATGATGCTCTTCCATATTCCACCATACAAGTTCCTATTTTCTGAGATTTTCAGAGAAAAGTACTCTGGTGGAAAATACTGGATTTGCAAGGTTAAAGAAACAAGAGCATTGATATTTAGAGAAGTGGTCTATGTGCATATTTACTCATCAGCACATGAAGCTTGAGTGATACCAGTTACAATTGTTATTATTAACAGTTTCTATTAGTAAAGTGTTCTCATACTAATTAAAAACAATCTATTATATTCTATCTCTTTGTTAAAAAAACATAGACATAAAAACTGACTTTTCTATCTCCTTTCACCTCATATTCTTTAACTCAACAAAGAATTATCTAAATGACTACCTAGTGCTGGGCACTATTTAGGTACTTGGGCTATAATATTGAAAACAACAGGCCTTGTATTAATGAAAAGTTAATTTTAATGAGATGTATGGATGAATTAAGAAATAACAAATAAAAAATAAACATAAAACATGTCAGATGGAAATATTGGAGTGCTCTGAAAAAAATGAAGGTGTGTAAAGGTTCTAAATTATTATATATGATTAATATTTCTACCATATTATGTAGAGAAATAAGAGTTGATAATATTTACCAATATGTTACATGCAAAGAGCTAATTTTCTCCAGAAAGTCAGTCACTGAGAAGGGAACAAACAGGCAACTGATTTCAATTTGAACTTTTATTGCAATCGCAGCTATGATCTGCAATTATATTTAGTATACATTTTAAATTTTTTATATTTCATTCACATCAACACATATTGTGCTTACATTTAAATATCAGGTATCAATCAGATTTGCTTTTCCTCATCACAAACATTGTATCCTTTTCCATTGGCACATGATTCTGTTTTCATTCAAGTGTTGGCCTTACAGTGTTATTTAACAATAAATTGTATTACCCACTTAATCAATACAGAGGGTATATAAGGTACAAATGAACAATATGCAATGATTCTCATACTCATTATATCACGTAAGAGTTCAATCATACATAATGTTTATATTACCAGAACTTAACTAGAAAAAGAAACTGAGGAAAATTGAATAAAAATATATCTCAAACATTTGAATCTTAGAATAATTCTGGAGGCACAGACCAATAGAAATGGTAAGTGTCCACCACTTAATCTGTTAATCATTTTTAGATTCAGATTATACTACTCTTATTACCATATAAGAAAGAAAATTTGCTATTGGATCTCTCTACCCAGTAGCAAAGAAATATGAATCATCATTTAAAATCATGCCTGCTGGTGTCCATGGCATTTAAGGCACCAGAGGCACTAAGGATGTAATTTTAATTTTGTTTACAGCTAGCTAAAGATATGTTTTCTATTTATAGTTCACTTAGATTCAATTAAGTTGCCTATATTTAATTAATTATATAGCTATCAAATCATTCAGGGTCCCCACTGTTTCAACAACACTGGAAAAATGCTCTTTCATCCCTGTTTATATGCAGCTATTTGTGGTCTAAATTAATATTCTGGCAATTGACATTAAAATTGCTACTATCAGATATGGTAATTTAATGAAGAAGCATGAGAATGAGGGAATATTTTGAGCAAGAGGGGACGATTTTGAATGATTATTTAAAGAATGTGAACAAGTAAATATTCTATAGAACTCTACAGAAAGTGGAGTCTAAAATTAAAATAATTCAATAATGCACTAAATTAATCCAATTTTGAAAAATTGGATCAGTTTTATAAAGTAAGGCATATAGATAATCATAATCTTTCTTACTATCATGCATTCTAAACCACATGAAGCTCTTTCCTTGGCTGCCTTAAAGTAAATAGGGACTCTTTACATTCTAGGGAAGCAATTATTAATTTCAGTTTATATGCCACTAATAAAATCATATTTAATAATGTACTAATAGGTATAAATTCACTTTAAAATTTCTGTGAAATATTAATAAAATGCTCTTTAAAATTATTTTTGGGAATATTGACCAGAAATTGAACAAATTGTAATTCATAAGGTAATGTAATTCATAAGGTAATGAATTCATTTTGGCTAGTGAATTGAATATCAGAACATATTAAATTAGTAAATTTAGCAAAATATTTAGAGGTCAAGAAAGTTATTTTACACTGACCATATTCTCTGACCTAAATGTGAGACAGAACCAAATAACAAGAGACAGCCAAATAATGCTGTTATATTTGTGAAGTTAAATAGAAGCTTTCATGTACTTTATAGCTCAAAGAAAAATTAAAATAAAATCACGCCATATTTAGAACTTAACTAATGATACATAACAAAGGAAAACTATGTTGAATACAGCAAAAGCTGAAATTATGTAGGAAACATAAACATATAAAGCAAGTGGAAGTAATAATATAGGAGCAGAAATCAATAAACAAGAAAAAAATGAAATAGTACAGCAAAAACAAGTGATTCCTGTAAAGCACAAGTTAAACAGACACATTTCCAGCCATACTGATCACCAAGAAAAGTGAAAAAGGAGAAAGAGATGGACATGAGAACATTAGATATGAATGAAAAGAAGACCAAAACTATAGGTATAGCAGAAATTCAAAACAAAAAGGGCATGAGAAAACTTTATCAACTTACTTTTGAACACATAGAATTAAGATAATTTTACAAAAGAAATCTAAACAAAAAAGACAAGAGTTTTAAAAGCAAAACTAATATATGTGTGTGTAGATATATTCTATATATTATATATAATCAACTAAATTAATCATCAAACATCTACTCTTCCAAAAATATAGATTCCAAAAGTATGAGTATGCGAACATAAACAACACTTTAAGCAAAACCTCTCAGTTTTAACTGCTTGCAATTTTAGAACACACCAGTTAAGCTCCCAACTCAGAGCTTACTGGCTGTTCACTGTCTGGAACACCCTTTCCCTTCCTTCTCCAATCTTTGTTTGAAAGTCACAATCTCAATGAAGCCTGTTTTTTAGTATTCTACCCTTTCTCAGTATTCCCAATATCCTTTGCCTGACCGATATTTCATATTAACAAAATATTTTCATCTTCTACTATAATGTATTATATATATATATATATATATATATATATACACTCATTTTATTAGAATATAAATTCCTTGAAAGCAATCATTGTTGTTTGCTTTGTTGTCACTTATGCCAACAACACGTAATGAAAATTTTTTGGTGAATATGCATACTTTGATTCTAAACCTGAAGTACAGAGTAAAAGAAATGACATTATAGGCCGATTTCACTTCAGTTTATAAGTACAAAACTTTTAATAAAATGTTAGCAAACTCAATTTAATAATGTGTGTGTAGTCACCAGAAGTGCACAATTTTTAGCCCCAGAATGGGAAGTGTGTTAATATTATTCAGTGTATTAATGTATTAATCTATTTTATCATTTTGGCAGATACAGAGTTCTAACAGATACAGAGAACCTCAAATATTCTCAATATATGCAGAGGAAGCTCTCAGTAACATTTAACATTCATTCGCAATAAAGATTCTTAGCAAATGAGGAATATGTAAAAGAAAACAATGTGTCAGTAAGAAAATGACACAACACTACAGAAAAATGAGAAAAGGATGTGAATTAGCAGTTCACAAGAGATAAAATCCAACTGGACAATAAATATTATAAAAAAGTATTCCACTATTTAACTATTCAAATTACAAGAGCAACACAAATTAAGTTGCCACTAAAAAATATATATATATATTTTATTCCCATCATATTGGCAACAACTAAAACTTCTTTACTTATTTATTTATTTTTTAATCAGAGTCTCACTCTTTTGCTTGGGCTAGAGGGCGGTGGCGCCACCTAGTGGACAGCAACCTCAAACTCCTGGGCTCAAGCGATCCTCCTGCCTCAGCCTCCCAAGTAGCTGGGACTACAAGCATGCACCACCATGCTTGGCTAATTTTTTCCATATATTTTTAGCTGTCCAATTAATTTCTTTGTATTTTTAGTAGAGACAGGGTCTCGCTCTTGCTCAAGCTGGTTTCCAACTCCTGACCTTGAGTGATCCGCCTGCCTTGGCCTCCCAGAGTGCTAGGATTACAGGCGTGAGCCACTGCGCCTGGCCTAAAATTTCTGAATACTACTAGATGGTGGTGAAAATGTCAGCAGCAAACTGACACCATGTAATACAGGTAAAGATGTGTATATACACACATATATATTCCACTGTACTAGAAAAAAGTGCACATATGCACAATAAAATTTATATAAGAATGTATATTGCAACATCTTTTCATTCAATTAAAGATTAGAAACACTTTAAATGCATCCAAAGAAATTGACAAATAGATTATATGAATAAATATATTCATACAGTGGAAACCCATAAACTGATAAATCACAAAATCATAACTTGAGTAAGGAAAGCAATTTGCAACAGACATGTTCAGTATATCATTTATACAAGTTAACAAAATAAATATTACTGTATTTTTATGGATATGTGTATTCACAGTAAAAGTATAAATGTAAAAAGGAAAAATATACAACAATTTGAAGATAGTTTTTGTCTCATATCTGAAACTGGGAAATAAGACTGAGCAGAGAGGGTGATGGCTACAACTATTCTTTAATTATTCTCTTCAAAATTAAAATGATCTGACTCACAAGCTTAAGAACTGGGGAAAAATTAGTGTGTTTCTTGTTTTTTTGTGTTTTTTTTCCCCCGATTCAGTAATCATGGAAGCATGGTGGTGTTATCACTCTCCTGATTCCTGAGTAAGCACAATATAGACAAAAATTCCCTAACTGACTTGACAGGGAAAGATGTAAGTAAAATAACCTTGAGTAAAAATAACTTTGAACTGTTTTAAGGCACTGAGATTTAGGAGGTTTCTTTACCATAGTATAACCTAGCATATCCTCACTGATATTAAAATTCCTGGCATGAATCATAAAATATGTGACACTGCTTTAGTGATCATTTAGTGAATGATAAAGCAATTATTAAGACTGAAGCCATAGTAATACATGTTCTGCAATGACAAGATATTTAGTAAGGCTTTCAGCAGCAAAAATATAGATGGTAGATAACATTCCTAGTAAACTTGTAGTTCCATAGGCTAGACTGCCAGATTTAGCAAATAAAATTCCATGGCACCCAATTAATTTTGAATTTCAGAAATACAACGAATACTGTTGTTTAGTAAAATTTCTGTGTGACATTATACTAAACAATTACACATGCATATACTAAATAAATTATTGTTGTTATATTGTAATATGTTGTTGTTATTATTAAATAAAAATGTTGTTTAACTGAAATTCAAATTTAGCTGGTTGTCCTGTATTTTACCTGGCAACCCTATCAAGAGGAAGAGGTTGTAAAACAAAAAATGTAGCAATATCTCTTGGGTACTATTAAAGTTATTTGACAAGATTTTATGAAGGACCATGAAGTGAGAAGGGGCAAGACACTAATCATTTTTAAACATGAAATTTTTCTAATGAAATGGGAAATCATGGGAAAGTTTTGAATTGAGTTATGACACAGCTGAACTATGTTTTAAAAGTATCACATGGGTGCCTGTTTGAGAATGAAATAAAGAAGCCAATAGCAGAAACAGAGCTCTCTGTTAAGAGGCTTTTGAAATTTTACAGGTAAGAATACTGGCTTAGACTTAGGTAATAGTGGGTTAGCTGAGTAAATTCTGGAAGCAGAATTGACTAGATTTCACAAAAGATTGTGAAGTGAAAGGAATATAGAGGAAACCAAGATAACAAGGTTTATGGCTTGAAAATTGGAAAGATAGAGTATCTGGTATCATAGATGGAGAAAACAGTACACATATTTCATTTGAGATGCTTGTTAGCATCCAATTAGTAGTACCAAATAGAGGGTTGAATATTTGAGTCTTTGGTTTCAGGAGAGAAGTTCAAATTGAAGATGTAAATGTGGAGGTTGTCAGCATATAGATGATAGTATATTAAGATGATAAAGGTAAAATAATAATAAATACTAACTTTTTAGGTATGAGGCCTTCATATAAATATTTTATATGCTAATTTACTGAATCCCTACAAACAACCTGATGTGATTGGCTCTACCAGCATTACACTATTTAAAATATCATATTAAAAGGAGGGACTCAACCTGTATGAATCTTTAGCAACTGTCCGACCTCCAAGGTAATTTTTAAAAATTGACTAGTCAGTGAACTCTGCCATAATCCCTAGTGATGTAAATGTATTTTACTTTCTAAAATTCCTTTTCACTATCTGTGAACCTTAAATAACATCTTTTAAATTTTTTGGTCTTAACACCTATATCATAGTGAATATTTAAAGAACCTGCTCCAAGTTCAGGATACAGAAAGGGGCAAATAATCTCTTCTCTCTTATGTTTCACTAATTAACATGATAGTAAATTAGCAGTTCAAGAAATCATGGTCCTGAAAGTGCACGAAAAAAAAGTAGGGTGGAGTAAGCTGACTTGACTAAGGAGCACTTTTAAGTCATCATATCCCGGGGGACCTCCAAAGAGGCATTGAGATGAAAGGGAGTTGAGATCATTTTGCCAACCATGGCACTATAGTTTGGGCATGAAAGTCATTTCATTTATATGTAGATGAGAACATACTATGGAATCTGGCAACATGCTATCTGCATACATTTTAGAATGAATTAATGTCCATTTATGTACCTTTTCTCATGTGAACCTTTTTGCTCAGCATGCTCCAAGATCTCTTTCCTACTTCTCCAAACAATCACTTCAATATTTCCTGTTTGAGACTCAATTCAACCTCTGCCATCCTTAGTTTTCTGTACTTTCTTATTATATCTCTAGAATTATACATTATAATATTATGCAATATATCTCTCTAGAATTATATGCTATGTATTATATATACAGAAATTAGAATTTACATCTAAGCTCTCCTGTTTAAATATATTCCTGCTATTATCGTAGTGCTAATTCATATTACTAGATGGCAAAATGAACAAAATGCTCCCAAAATCAATGTCAATAGAGGATAATCAATTTTAAATATTAGCATAATAAATATATATAACACAAATAAATTCAAATAGCGAGGCATGCTAATTTGGTCAGCTTTTTTGTTGGCATAATCTTATGATCTCAACTTTAAATTTCATAATGTAACAGTATGTTCTGCTGGTAAAATGATTTCTTGTTTACATGAAGATATCACATATATTGATATTCATATGGTCTCAACTTCTAAATGTATTTTAAAAAGACTTATTGTTGAAGATCTCTTATCTTTCCCACTAGTGTACAAAATATGTACTTGTTATATACTAATAATTAAATAATTTTGGAAACTCACAACTTAAAAAAATCTCTACAGTGGAGAAGTTTATATGAGTGGTGTCACTTTTATATAAAAGAAAATTATTTCACTTTATATTAATACTGTACTCATTTGCAATCCAAATATGAGAGAAGACAGTTCTCATTCCTAATATTAATAACTATTTCTGAATATCACACATTTCATAAAGGGGGTATAATACTGATTGCCCTCTCAAATTTCACTCACTTTCCCATAACAATTAGAAACAGTTTCTTTTAATTACCCCTGCCCTTCTTAGAGCAGTTTCAGATATATAAAAATTAATTATCTGGAACTCACATCTTTATAATTTTAACCTTTTTATGCTTCGCTTGTTTACAGTGACATTTATTTAAAAAACTTATCAAGTAACTGCATATGTAGAAATTTGATTTATCAGAAGAGGCAGGAGAAGAAAGAAATGCAGGACGTTAAGCTTTTTATGGTGCTTTAGGACTTCCTTAGAAATCATTAGCTCATCAAACTTGTTTTGGCATGACTGAAAGACATATCCCATTAAAATGATATTAATGCAAGATCACTGTTGTCATTAAGCCATCATATCACATATTATACATTTATGCCTAAAGTGTGTTCAAAATTCCCATTCCTTTACCTTTTAATCATGATAAGGAATTTTGCCGATTATAGTCAGCTAATTCAAAATAATAAAATTAACGTCATCTAAAAGGTCATAGGATTTAGAATAACACTGGTAAACATTTTATTCTAAATACCTTGGTATTTTAGTAATTAATGAAGACTGCCTATTTATATGGATACTGTGTTTTTGTTAGAAATTAATTAGCAATATATCTAGCTTTTCCTTACTTCTATAGCAGTTCAATGCATTGAAAGACCTTTTGTAAGCTATGCCTCTAACCACAACTGGGCATCTCTGTCTTAAGAGATATTTATCAAGTCTATACTTCTCCACACTGTTCCTACTGTCCTCAGCAAGACTTAACTTTTGACTCACAATCTCAATTCTTGACCACTAATCTTCAGTCTTCTTTCTTTTATTGCTAATTGTTGGAATGAGTGGTTTGTGAAAATGCCTATATCTATTCCCTTTCTTGCTCTTTTGATCATAACTTAAGCTTTATATTATTCTCAGTGTCCACATATTAACTTCATAAATAGGAAGTGTTTGTTTTTTTAATTTAATTCCTTATTAATTTCCTATGTAATTATATTCTCTAAAGTCTTTACGTTTTGTTGATTGTTACCTTATTGTCTGCTTTTTATATATGCTTCTATTCAAAGATGATTTTGCAAACTGGCATTTTAAATTAGGTAATTGTCCTGTCTGACTTTTCTAACTTTCTCTACTTTTGCTGACCTATAGAAATAACAAATATAAAAGTAATCAACACTCACATGCGCATATGTTAGTAAAAATCAAGGGAATTTGAGCAGGTGTAACGGGGAGGAGGGGATGGGTAAGTTCACTCCTAAAGAGTACAATGTGCACTATCTGGGTGATGGACTCATGACTTTGACTCAAACTGTACAAAAGTAATTCATGTAACCAAAACATTTATACCCCTGCATAATTACACCTGTCCATGTCAATTCTTTCTTTCTTTCTTTCTTTCTTTCTTTCTTTCTTTCTTTCTTTCTTTCTTTCTTTCTTTCTTTCTTTCTTTCTTTCTTTCTTTCTTTCTTTTCTTATCTATTCGTTGCCCGGGCTAGAGTGCCATGGTGTCAACCTAGCTCACAGCAACCTCAAACTCCTGGGCTCAAGCAATCCTTCTGCCTCAGCCTCCCCAGTAGCTGGGACTACAGACTACAGGCATTAGACACCATGTCTGGTTAATGCTTTCTACATATTTTTAGTTGGCCAATTAATTTCTTTCTATTTTTAGTAGAGACAAGGTCTTGCTCTTGCTCAGGGTGGTTTCGAACTCCTGACCTTGAGTGATCTACCCACCTTGGCCTCCCAGAGTGCTAGGATTACAGGTGTGAGCCAACAGGCCCAGCCCATGTCAATTCTTTTAAAAATGTTAGAAGCATTATCGGGTGGTGAGCAGGTGTTGGGGGGGAGGAGGGGAAGGATGTACACTTACATAATGTGTGTGGTGCGTACCATCTGGGGGTTGGACACACTTGATGCTCTGGCACGGCGGGGGGGGGAGGGGTGGTAGGGGCAATATATATATAACCCTAACAATATTTGTACCCCCATAATATGATAAAATGAAAGGAAAAAGTGTTAGAAGCAAAGTTTAATTTCTGGAGCCAACTGTTACAGTTGACTTATGGGCAGGATGATCACTCTTTTACATTTACTACTGAAAATGTTTGCTAAGTTCAGACTTCAATAAAACTCTTACATTTTCTTTTTTAAAATTAATGGTGTGATTTATCTAACTAGTTATACATGAATATATCAGTGGTTCTCAGTTTGGTCTCAGCATC